ATTGTATTGCAGCTTGAAATCTTCAATTTAAAGTAAACCATTGAACAGGACAATTAACAGAAATGAAGAACTACATACTTMGATGGTTTCCGGTTAAAATAGYTGACCACAATAAGAATTCAAAACAAACYCAGATAAAGCTACCATAAAATCGTCTGCCAAATTCAAGAGGTAGCACTGGCAGTACATTATTATATWACATTGTTCATATAGTCAAACTTCATAGGAATTGTTGTATGGGGAACAGACATGGGAAGCAATAAAACTAATGATGTGACTCTATTATCCCAGGATTATAAAATTCATGAAATCTTAAAACACTCATTTAGACTGACAARGGATGCTAGCTTGGTTTGTCCTCCTCCCAAAAGCCTTTTTCAGAGTTGCTGCAGTGGCTGTGAATGTGCATCAAATTGATTTGTTATTATGTGTGTGGAACTGATTTGTTATGTGTATCGAGTGCATTTGCTATGTGTATCCAGTGGATCGAATGTGTATCGAGTGGATAGAAATACTTGTCAGAGCAGTTAAACATAATGATCTACTGTTTATTAAGTGGATGTTAAACATAATAATTATATACTCTGCTTTAAAAATATCATTATATCTGTATATAATATTATTCTATATAATGTCAAAGTGTTATTTAGTTTTAGTAGTGGTCTTGTTGATCTGTTCTTTGATTGGACTAAGTACAGGCTTGAAGTATCTGAGAATGGTTTGTCCAGGATCAGCAAGCTTGGGCTTCTGCCAAGAGAATAAAAATATAAATTCAAATGGTTTTCATATACTGTAAATACTGTAACTGGTGAAATGCAATTTCTGTTTTGGTTGTATAATATAACTATCATTCCATGATTAAAAGGTGTTTTTTTTATTATTTACAAACCTCAGTGGATGCTCTTGATTCTTTATTGTCCTCCATTTCCTCATGACTTGCTGGTTTACTCTTTTCATGTGTTTTACTGTGTTTGATATAGATTTTCCAGTTAATAAACCAATTGATGTTGTTAGGTTTCCCATTATCATCCTTTCTCTCTAATGTTTTTGTATTCCTGTTGCCATTAGGTCTCATATTTTCCTTGCTATGAGTATTGTGTGCTCTCTCAACATGATTGCCATTTGTTCTGAAGTCTGATGGTCCATCTATGCACTGCCTTTTCTTAGCTGGCAGTAAAACATCATCATTGAAACTATCACTATTTGGTATGTCTTGACTTCTTTTCCCTCTCCAAGAAATTTCACTATTTTGAATTTTTTCATTTTTGTCTTCTGATTTTCTTTCATGGAAGAGAGGCCTTTGTCCTTTGTTCGTAGCCCCAACAATTGTACCACAATTAAGTTTTTTGTTCATTTCAATGTTTGTGCTTTCCTTGCGGCTTGCTTGCTCTTCTTTGTCATCTAGAGACAGTTGGATGTCTTTGTGAGTTTGTGATTTTTTGCCATTTTGAGATGCATTTGTTTTCTTTCTTGCCATTGCTTGCAGTTGCTGGTCATCTTGAGACAAATTTGTGTTTTCTTGTGATGATGTCAACCAGGAACTCAATGATTGTTGTTTGCTTTGCAACTTTGTTGAGGTTGGTGAAGATGGACTTGCAAAAACTTGTAAAATAGTAGGTGAAGGAGGAAAAGGGAAAAACATCATTTTTCTTCCTGGTGTCCTCACCAAAGGAGACCTTGCACTGTTTGGTGGAGATTGTGTTTGCAGGTCACCAGGGAATTTTATTGAGGTATTAACACTTTGTTTAAGTGGTGTTGCATGTGATTTAGTTCCAGGATTGGGACTGGAGATTTCTAAAATGTCATGAAACAAAAACATCAAACCCAACATCAATATGATATCAATAGATAAATGATAAAGATCGCTTGCTTACCACTTGATGGTTTATTTGCAGAGTCTTCACACCATCCAATGATATCAGTTTTGTCTCTTACTGCACGTCGATTCATTCTCCTATGAATATGAAAGGTCGATCAATATAAACAAATTAGACAGTTACCATTCATCATTCTCTACAGGAACAGTGTTGTTGGACAAAAAACTTGTTTTACTTACCAAATTCTAATGTTATTGTCATCACCACAAGTCACCAACTATGAATATCAATATCCTGATATTAGTATTATAAATAATCATTGTACTGCAAATTGAAATTTCTACTTTATAAATATACTAATCCTTTCATCTTGCAGTTGTAACAAGTTAATCTTATTCATATAACTATTATGATTGTTCACTCTTGAATTATTATTTCAATTTATAAAAAAATATTTTAACCAAATGTGACAGCACAATAAAATCAGTTCATCACATACCTTCCCAACATCAACAGGGCACCAATCAACACTTGTTACTTCCTTGGAATGACCCTTGAGCACCATGGGAGATGCATGAGGAGTTTTTACATTCCAGAGATATGCATCATTATCACTAGATCCACTGAGAAGATAGTTATCATCTGGACTTAATGCTGATTTTACATAGAATGTGGAATTAGAGTGACCAGTGAAGGCAGCAATAGGATTATCTTTCAAAACTGTACATTCATACATGTAAATTTTGTCATTTGTGCAACTTGCAAACAGCTTTGACTGAGTGGAGTCAAGAACCAGGGAAGAAAACCCTGAAAATCAATGAAACAATGGCAACTGTTCAATGATTAGTTCGATAAATGAATGAGGAAGTAAAAGAATGTATAATGTGATAAATAAATAATCAAGTTATGCTTGAATTAATATGAAAACTCCAAATAATAATACTAGCAATCATACCATGTTTGCGTGGTTCATGTCCTGGGTAAGGGAAGAGGTGATAAGGGCTGGGTTCGCTTTTTAATTTGGTGTATGTCTTACGCAGGTCCCATACTTTGATATTACCATCCATTGCACCTGATGATATTAATTTATTATCATCTTGAAAGATGACAGATGTCACTGATTGTTGACAGTCCTGAAATTAAACATATTTCGACTATGAATTGACTTCTTGTATGTGAGACTGGTTATTGGGGATCAAATGCTGGATTAAATGACATAGGACACTATATCACAACAAATCACAGGCACACTGACTGGATGAATGACTTTATTAAAGACATGGAAATAAGCAGCATTTGCTCCACCTTCCAGGTTTATTTGACTTACACTATTTACTTGGGCAACACTACTTCTTCTTCTTGATCTTTTGCGTATTTGTTGTGGTGTACTATTACGTTGTACAGTGTGAGCATTATGAATTATATTGACTGGTTTGTGGTGACCATCACGACGGTTGCATCTGATGTCCCAAATCATGATCTTGCCATCTCTTGCACCAGTTCCAATTATGACTGTCACAAAGACAAATTTTGGTAAATTTGTTATTATTTTGAGTTATAAGACTAAACCTAACGTTTTTTAGGATAATGTACATCAGATTATAGGAACAAACAATGCAAATGGGCGAGCAGTCAAGCAAATCTCTTCACTTACATATATCATTTCTCCTAAAGTTGACAGACTTCAAGCTGCAAGTGTGTCCTCTCAACTCTGTCAGTAAATCACCTCTCTCTACATCCCATAATAAGGCTGACTGATCTCCTGATGCTGTAACCTAGATAATAAAATGTATCAGTCCTTCATAGGGGAATTTGTTTGTAATTCTCAGAATAACGTAGTTTTAAAACCAGCTAATATGAATAACATGATCAGAAATTGAGACACACAATGTATGTCTCATCTATGTCACTTCAATCGAATAATAAATATTTCTAGTTACCAATTTAGGGTGTCCTTCCATCCAAGCAATGTCAAATATAGCATTGTAGTGAGCAGTCCATTCTAAACATAAAACAACAAGTTCCAGTTTTGCTTCAAAAAAAAATAGAGAGTAGGAAGGAGAGCTTATGTGCCACTAGTCATGAAGAAGTTAGGTAACCAGTAAAAAAGAGGTGGAAAAAATGTGATACCCTGGCGTAAAAAGATGCCTTTGATACCTTTGATAATTGACTTGGCGCCATACTTTCGTGTGTCAAGCAATTTCACGGAGCCATCTTCATCAGCACAGGCCAACAAATGACCACCTAATTGACCTGCAATACATAAGATATATCAGATGCCTAATCTACTTATTCAAGACACAATAAGTTAGTCTTACTGTCGCTGAATCGTGAGGCAAACGGTGGCACCTCCATCTGAAATGATCAATGGTGAAATTAGCATACTTAAACAAACCTTATTGATTTCATAATGATCGTGTATCAAAACTTACTGAATCATCCCGTCCTCGTACGATGTGTTCATCTATTCGGTGACATGAGAACGACTTTACTGCGAAGGTGGTAGGAATGTCTACAAAAACATAATACATGCATTACTTGGTTGATCAAACATGATGCTTGTATGATGTCAATGGTGGTGTCCGTGAAGAATGAAATATCGTCAACTTACACGATTCTCCAGGGAAACCATGCAGTTGTCTTTGAAAAATGGAGCTTATCAGAGTCATCTTGGGCTTTTCTAACCCAAATTATAACGATGCAAAGAGTGCAAGAAGGATAACAAATAGATTTCGTGATCAAACTAAATTATTTCCCGCGAAATCTTTGTAAATTCGCGCGAAATGTACTTCTATAACATCAACTTTGATTGGCCGTCATATGTTGGAACTTTTGATTGGATCAAAGTAATATTAGTTTCCAGACCTCTGACCCTTGCTTTTCAAAATGGCAGCCACATCTGCATTTACGGTTTTTGCGGATTTTACTGAAAAAAATTCAAATAACCAAGAAAACTGGCAGGACGCAAACGCTGCACTTCTTGAACTTGATAAAGGTGAAGATGTTTTTACGGTTTCTTGCACTTTTTTCCATATATAAAAAGTGTATATTTATTGTCGACCATAAGGTCATGCCGCTTATGTTTTGGATTCTTTCTTTCTTGCCAAGTTTTAAACTTAAGCTTATAGACATTCTTGTTTATTTTGTGTTGCTCTATTTTTGAAGTATACTATGCTGTAACCAGTCATGTTATTTATAAATTTTTTCCTTCTGCATTTCTCTCATGGGGGACGGGGGTGTGCAGTAGGCTGCATTGGATGGGAGGGGAGGGTATAATTTTGTTAGTTATTTTTATAAATTTACCATAATCCTACAGCATCATCAAACAGGATGTTGTTCTTTTTTAGGTCTAAGATCAGGCAAAGCAGGAGAACAGTGTGAATCAATAGTTCGATTTCCCAATCTTTTTGAGAAATATCCCTTTCCAATCCTGATAAATTCTGCATCACTTAAACTAGCTGAAGTCTTTCGCACTGGGTAAGAATGGAGTTTATGGCTCATCTGTATTTGATAAGTCGCTACAAAATTCGATATTGTTATTAATGCTAATTGTATTTCTGTTTTTTTAGCAATAACTTTATGAGATTATGCATTTTAAAAGTTGCCCAGAGAAGTGAAAAACATCTGGATAAAATTTTGAATGTGGATGAATTTTTGAGAAGAATTTATTCAGTCATTCATTCTAATGATCCTGTGGCTAGGGCCATGACAATTAGGTGAGATTTGCTTACAATGCGCTGTACAATATCTCTATTGATAATTCATTGCAACACTGCACATTGTGAAGACAATTCATATCAATTCCATTGATATTGCAGACTTCTTGGGAGCATTTCACCAATTATTGCTGAGAGAAAAAATGCTCACCATAGGTAAATACATGTAAACAACACAATTCTGAAAAGTAATGTATTTTTTGTCACACATTTTTTCTTGTAATCTTTGATGTGTATGTTGTAGTTCAGGTTCAATATGATTTTGAACCAGTTCAATTTCTTCTGAACTGGTTCTGTTTATTTTGGTTGTACAGCATTAGAACTGGTTTGGACTCACATGATCAAGTTGAGCTTGAAGCAGCCATTTTTGCTACTGGACAGTTTTGTGCACAATCGAGGTATTATTTCCTTCACTCTTGTTCTCTCCCTTCTTTCTCACAATTTCACGATAATCTTCCCCTGATCCTCTTTTCCTTCATCTCTTTTTTCCTTCATCTTTCATTTTTCACAGTTTCCTTCTTCTCTTTCCCGTTGTCATTATGTGTTACAGTAATTCCCTCATTTAAATCTAAATCATTAATTTATGCCTCATTGATTTTAAGTATTTCATTTTTTTTTTTGGTCACCACAGTGATTTTGCTTCAGGAGTACTAAACAAACTTGCCACAATGATTGAAGGTGAGCATATGATTGTAAACTTTGCATTATTCATTCAATATCATGTATAGTACTGGTCATAATATCATTTACAGGTTTGACGACACCAATAGAAATGAAATTAAAACTTGTTCCTATATTTGGTCACATGCTGCATGATCTACACATGGCATCCAAGGTAAACAAAGCCATTTTTCCTGCTGATGATGGTACAGTATATTGATGGTTTTGATATTGTTTTTATCAGGCTAGAAGTGTTTGTCTTGAGCTTCTCAAGTCATATTCAGCTTGTAAATTTGTGGTTACAATTCTCCATACTTTATCTTGTTTGGCTGCAAAAAGTGTGAGCTGCATTACAGATCAGGTTAGTGTATTGTTTAATTTCTACAAATCAAAAACAGAAACAAACCCAACACCAAGCCGAAGCCCAAACCAACACAACAAACCACACAATCACCACAACACGACAACATTAACATACATTTGAAACATTTAGCAGGCAAGTAATTATCTCTTACAGATTGAGCTGCTTCTATTGTACCTAAAAGATGATCCCCGTAGGAATATCAAATATCAAACACTAAATGACCTCAAGATGTTGGCAAAAGAAGCGTCCCATATGTGGGGAAGGAGTCATATTGAGGTACTGATTCATTGACTTCTATCAATTGTTAAAACAGTGCTATTTCCTTATCAATCTGATATGTTGTTTCAGGAACTGTGTCATTTCTTACTGAAGTGTAACTATGATGACTTAAAGCTTGGTGGTTTAATGACACTAGTGACTCTATCAACAACATTAGCTGTAGATCAATTTGATAAGGATCTTAGTGAGTATATCTCCTCTTTGCTGTCAACCTAATCATTATAAACTGCCTCAACCAAAACTGTAAACTTAATACTAATGTAATGTCAAATTAAAAATATTTGACAGTTCTTCAGGTTTGTTCTCTGGAATCCAGCTCCTCCAACTTGATTGTATCTGCTGTCAGTTGTCAACTACAAATAAACATTGCAGTAGCTCAAGTCAAACAAAGTTTGTATTTTCACTTTATTGTAATATCATGTACCCCTACATATATTTTATTCATTACATTATTCATCATTATGCAGGTGATACTACACTATGTAAACAGGCTGCGTTGGCAGTTGAAGGAACCTGTGTCATCTGTTGTATGGAGGGTCAAGTTCAACCACTTAAGGTAAAGTGAATTCTAGATAGAGAACATGGCACTAGTTAAATGCATAGACAGATTAATAAATTTCTATGACCTCTAGATAGCTAACAACCATAAGAGAATTTTTGTTTTGTTATTTTGTAATTCATGGATGCTAACTACTGTTTTTATTTCATTATAAAGATTTGTTTGGCATCAATGAATCAGCTTGTTGATTCACATCCAGAGTCCTGCACCCCCCTGGCAGACTGCCTTGTGGCATTGCTACCAACAGTTCAAGGTGAGTAAAGACAATAGTCATTTTACTGGGAGTTGTTTCTTGTATTTAAGCTGTTTTTTTAAACCTGCTTAATCATAGTTTACTTATTCCTTTGTATTGTGTATGTTTTTAGAGTCTGTGGCAATAGAGATGTGTCATGCTTTAGTCACCATGGCAACTCAAGTCCCTTCAGCCCTTATACACTTAAGATGCGAATTGATTGATTTCTTTAAATCTGAAGTAGAACAAGAAAGTAGTATTGTACTTGATGTGGAAATGAGGCAGGCTAGTAGTAACTTACTGGTAAGGATGGGCTTTGTTTATAATCAAGAAACAATCAATAAAAATCAAATATTGAAAGAAATGTTGAATCATGAGGTAGTGATTGTTGCATTTTTTCCTCATTCAGGTTCCAGCGTTGACACTGATATTTCAAGCTCACTCCTGTCTACCTGAGGAAAATAGGAATGAAATCAAAACAGATATAGAAACTTTGATACTTGAAGAGTTGGAAAAACTCACATTACCATGTAAATATTGGCTGATTTATAGGACAGCAAGGCAAGCAACAAGACAGGTTGGTCAATAGTACCTCTCTTCACCTTCAACCTTTCTCCTCTAGATTACTTCTCTCTCCCTCTACATTCTCTCTTGATTTACTGTGGGTGGTGTGTATAATAATAACTGGAAATGCTAAATAATTGACTGTGCATCAAATCTTACAGGGATTTCACTGTCTGGCATCTAAGCTTTTTGACAGTTTATCAACAAAGGCAAGTACTAAATAATTATTATTGTTCTATATTAATCTCATTTAATGTAATTATATCAGTCTTTCATAGTCTAACCTTCACATTCTAAGGTTGCATCAGAGCATTTCTACTTTTGGCTAAATGCTCTCAAGTGTTTTTGTGAAGCAGAAAGTACTCTAAACAAACCATTCCAGACAAATCGTGATCTTGCTGAGAGTATTGCTAGTGCAAGCAGCCAATATTATAAAGGACTTGTATCACTCAAGGTAGATTAACACAAAACTTGCCATTTATAACAATGATTACTGTCATCCTGGACAAAAACTCTTTATGTACCCATAAATCCACCTTGTTCTACCTGAAACAAATATTATAAGAATTCAATATTATTTTGTATTGCAGGCAGCAGTAACTCCTTCCAGTCAATTAACATTTCAAATTACCTATGCCAAGCTTAGAGCTGACCTATTACAAGCACATAGCTTACTGTTTGCAGCCTGTGCAAGCATGAAATCATGCCCACCGCCTGCCATTGCAACTGCTGTTGCCATGACTACTGGACAGGATGTACACAACTTAAGCCATTTTGCTACACAGGTTTGTTGTTATCGAAATGTGGGATTTGTTTAGGAATTAATGTGCACAGAGAAATTAAACTACATCAAATGAATCTATCAACAAATTTATCAAAAGTTGTTCTAAGCCTGGTCCAGTTTATGTCCAAGAAATGTTGTAATTTGCATTTTACCAAGACTAATAAGATTTTTTGAACTCCTTTTTTTAACAGTTGACAATGCAAATTTCTTCTTATTAGATCTCTCAAGTCTGTCAAGTTTTCCGTCAACTAGGGGAGAAGTACAGCAAATTATTTCAGTCTTCTTTTGATGCTGACCCTGTGAGTCTGGAAAATGTTGAAATGTATCCTCATAGTAGATGTAGTTTTTGGATCTTCTGTCAATCATAACTTTCTCTATATTTTTCTTGTTTCATGTTTTTCCTAAAGTAAATTAAAAGTCAGATTGATGAAATGTCTGTTGTTATTTCTTAACCATCAAAATACAGTTTACAGCAAAGTTGTTTTCTTGTTTCTCACTGCATCAATTTACTGACTAAAACAATGCAAGAAAGGTTTGTAATAGCTACTAACAACTCTGTCTATCACATTGTATCCTCTTCATTTCCTTGAATCATCCCATCCTTAATATCTATCTATCCTGTTTCTTTGCACCCATCCCATGCATTCTACTCGTCGCCCTTATTCTATCTTCGTTTTCATTGGTAGTGGCTTTTCTGAAATCACTGATGCAGAGAAAATAAAGGGGAGTGATTCTCCCCTCTCACAAGCTTGTAAACAGTTGTACAATTATATTAAGGTATGTATTTGATCATATTTTATTCATGACAGGACAGTACAAATGCTTATTCTTCAGATATATAAGCACAATAGAGAGAATAGTGAAATAACCAAAAACTGGATTAATTAGTCATAGATATATATATATCACCTATATATCACCTAATACTTTACTAAGTCTATGTATCACCTTGTTTATATTTTGTAGGAATATACTTTGGAGCTTCAGTCAGTGCCAGTTTGTCATTTGGTAAGTATACAATAATACGAAAATATCAAACCTGATTACTTAGTATGTGAAAGGCAGTTTTGTTTTTACTTACAGTAGGTGATATTCCAAACATTTCAATGAAATTAATGTTTATTTCTGTATTGCAGCAAACTGAATACCTGCGTAGAGTATCACTGACACTTCTACATGTACCTTTTATCTTCCCAAAATACTTCTTTCAAAGCAGACAGCAAACAATTATCAAGGTACCCGTTTTGAAAAAATAATATTATCATTTATGAGAAGGAAATCCCATTAATTCTCATTTATGTCTTATAATGCTATATTTTATTTTGCTACATTTTGTTAATGATAATTTTTTATTCATCTGCCTTCAGTTGGCTCTGTCTCCCACTCCTCGATCCAGCACTGAGCAAATTTCTGTTCTGACAGAAACACAATTTGCTCTCAAAGTTGAAGGTATTATTGAACATCTTGGTGTTAAACCAGGCCTTTATCGGTCAATCAAGGCTGTGAGTTTGCATGTGTCATGGGCACCAGATGAGCGAAAGCAAACCCAGGCAATACAAGATATAAAGGTAAAGATTCAAGACAGTAACATATTGTAATGAGCTTGAGAACAACTATGATTTGAGTTTTAAATTTTCTTGTTGTTTTAATTTTATTCCTGACCCACAAGCTTCAGTAGGGTCACCTTCATGGCAGTTGTTAGCTGTCAGTCATAGGGATTTGTAGTCATGTGACTGCAATCTAAGAATATTACAAAAGTTGTTATCATATTGATTATAATATTATCATTATCTAGATGCATAAACCTATAACAAGTCTCGAACAAACTGTCAGTCCTCATCACGACTACTTTAGTGCCCAGTTTCTACTGTCTTTTACAACACCAGCTACTTATGTTGTTATGGTAACAACTAGTGTGGTAGATGACACAGGTGCACTCTGGGAAACTGGTCCAGTGAGTTCACTACAAGTGAAGGCAGTTGAAGGAAACAATAGACTCAGTGCAGGCTCCTCAAGAATGTAGAACTATTCCCAACAGTTTGTATATAGTTTTATAGGTTGTATAAAATAAAGTCAAATTCAAAATTGTGATTATGAGTTTGTATTGACTGCTATAGTAAGGTAAAGCAAAGTTTTTTCTATGGGGAAAGGAAAGCACTCCAAGCATTTGTATAAATTCACAAAATTTATTATCATAAGCAATTTAATAAATACCCATCTATGTATACAGTATCTACAAATAATTTACAATAATGGTATAAAAAAAGTTGTTTTAATATTTAGATATATATTATATAAAGCACTCTATTATAAAACTTTTTGTCAAGCTCTTTGAATCAATAGTAGAACAAACAATTTGCTTCTCTATCTCTTTCTTCTGTTTTTGTTGGCCTTGGGTGGTGCTGGACGTGACTTGATGTCTTTACATCTAGGGATGTGACGCTCAGCTGTTTCAGGGTTGAATTTTCTCTCGCAGTAAGGACAGGCCACGTAATGTGGGTTTTCTATCACAGGTGGTGGTTCGTTGCTGGCACCTTTTGCATAACGAATAGTTTTGATGAAGTTTTCATGTTGAACTCTCCAGTCTGCCTTTTTGGGCTGGTAAGACAAAAAAAAGATTGTTGGTCAAAATGGTCATATTTGAAAGACGTTTTGACAACAAGTTCCTGCTGCACTAGTGTGGTTGTATAGTCATTCATCAGAATGTTATACAAGGTGCTGGTTGTGAAATTCAAGGTTGGTGCCATTAACACTTCATTTCAGCACAATTAAGAACATGATTTGAATTTCATAACAATAATAATAAAGACAATACATCAATAATGATGTTTTTAAAGGTTTGTGGGCCATTAAACCATATTTGTATTTTGTTTTTTCACAAGAATACTTGAAGAAGGTAAAAACATTATAGTTTCTGTCCTATAAAGATTGATGATCAGGAAAGTGTGGGCAACACATAAAAATCCAACAATGCAAGGAATAAAAATATGTAATGTTATGTTGATTAATTTGGTTGCTTTATATTTACCTTGGGAGGTTCTTTTTTGTAGTCTCCTGTAAGAACATACTTTGCATGCTCCATTCCAGATACTCGTTGCTTCTGAACATCAAATGCTTTTCTTTTTGTCTTTGAATTTTTGTTACAGATTTTTGCATGTCTTCCAAGTCGTTCTGTTGCAAATTTTCTCCCACATATTGTACATGGGGTTAAGTCTAAGCTGACAGCTTCATCATTTTGTGCTGCTTGCTCATAGAATGCTGTAAAATCCTCCTTGGGCTCGTCTTCTTCCATTGTATCATCATCTGCTGGTAATGTATTTGATATTGTCATTTGTGTTACTATGTCTTTCTTTTGCTGAATGTGAACTTGAGTTTTGTTTTCCCTCTTTGTTTCTGATTTAGGTTGTACATATTTTCCTTGCTTTTGTACCTTTTCTGATGTTCTTTCCTTATTAAAAGAGTCTTGTTTTTGATAGTACTTGTCATCTTTATCAGCCAACATTAATTCATATGAACTGCTGTCTTCATTCTCCATTCTGTCCTGCTCTTCTAGTTCTTGTTGTAGTCTCTTAATTTCCTTCAGCTTATCTTGCTCTGCTTTAATTTTCTCTAAAAGTTCTCTTTCTCTTGTGGAAAGTGTTGATTCTGTTTTATTCTGTGGTTTAGATGTCTTTTGTTTGTGTTTTTCCAATCTTTCAGCTCTTTGTTTGTCCTGTTCCATTTGCCATTTTTGGAATTCTGTTGGCTTCTCAATGCTTTCTTGCTTTACAAGACTCATTTGCTTACTTAGTCTTTTCTGTCTGATTGCTTTGAGTTTAGCAAGGTTTGGGGGAGGTTCATCAGAGTGATTACTACAAGATTCATCAAAATCACTCCTAGATTCTATGCCAGGTCTTTGATTTCGCAGTGGATTTGGCTGCTGAGGTGGTTTAGGAACATGCACAGTTTCTTGATATAAAGTTTCATTATTATCTTCTTGGGAATCATCTGTAGTGAGTGTGTGATGTGTTTCATATCTCTTGTTTGGTGTAGGTGGTTTATGACTACTAGTTTGACCTCTCTGCAATGGAGGAAGAGGGTTTTGTTTGTCAACTCCTTTGCTTTTCTTGCGATAATATTGTGGTGCTTGTTTCCTTCTCCCAGCACTTTTACTTTTATGTTGAGCTGGTGGTGTGTATGATTGAACAGCTCTAGTTTGTCTTGGAGGAGCAGAGCTGCTTGAATCCTTTACTTTCCTGAAATGTCTATCAATTGGAGGTAAAGCATAAGGGTCTTTCATGTTTGCTTCTAGTGCTCTTCTTTCTGCAAAGAAAGCTCGAACAGTGCCACCACTTTTCACTTTTTCAGTGTCTGCCCTTGCTTGTTGTGATCGCATCTCTGCCAGTCTGTCCTCCACATCCTTTTGCCTTTTCTTTTCATAATTTTGCCTCATTAACTCCAGCCGTGACTGCTTGGGCTTTTGTACTCCACTCATTTTATCAATGTTTGCAAGGGGGCTCAAAGTTTCAGGCATTTGAAGAGCTTGTTGACAATATGGTTGTCTTTCATAAGATGTTTGAGCCATTAGATTGTGTTGATACTGTCATGCAACCTATTACAAATGAATGTTTCCTTTAGAACAAGTAAAAATGTATAAATTGATCAATCTGTCATTACAAAGAGATGGACCCACAGATAAAACACCCCCACACCAGGAAAAACAATTTCGCAAATGAGATGTGATTCACAAACAAATTGTTCAATATAACAGAGGTTGTTAGGCAACCAACGTCACTAATAAATTGGCTTTCTTAAGATTTATGTTAAGTACTACTATATTATTTTTGTCGGGGTTTGTTTTAACCCAAAATAGTACTTTAGGAAATTTAATTTACATGTACCCTCAGGGCTTCATTGAAGGTGCGCAAGTAAACTTAAGCTTACGTCTTTTCTGTAAAGAAAATGAGAAGTTTTCCTTTTTTCTAATTACGTCCACTGAGAAGCAAAGGTTTTAGCGTAAATTACAACAGATCCTCATGTCGTGAGTCATTTTTATAGCAAGAAAGAACGCTATGCTTTTAGCTTTGTCAAATTTGAGTCTGGCCTTGACATGCAGCAAGCAAAGCTTACATGGAATCGAGTTTCATCACGTATTTTGCAATAATCAACTTCTCATCTTAATAAAAGTAAAACGTCTACGAAATATTTAGTTGAAAATCTAAATATACAAAAGTATTGTGATAAAGCGAAAGAATTCGCAGGGATTGTCAAACAGCTGTTCGACAACATGGATGAATGGTGGGGGCCGAGATTTGTATGACTAATTTACTCTTTTATGTTTTACGGAGTAAGGAGTAATCAAGGAAAGTATATCATAGACCTCTTACCGTCTGATTTCTCAGCCACACAGAAACAGCAAGATTCAATGAAACCAGCGTAAATTATGAGCGATGGGAGTAGGAAATGATGAACTGTCTTTCGTTTTTAGAAACCCAAGCAAAATACTGGTTTCTGATTGGTCAATGTAGGTTACCAATGTAAATAGCATTGAAAATGCCTTGTTGCTATGATAACAACCTGTCTGTTTCCAAGCAACAGAAACAAAGTTTTAGAGGGAGGGGTAGTACAGGTAAATTTGCTGGAGAAATGTTCCTCGCTTTTTAATTCAAATATAAACGTGATAAAACGATAGATTAAACTTCAGACACTTTACTGCTAATAGGTTATTTTTAGGTTATTTTTAGATTAGTATGTCACTAGCCTACCCCGATGAGTAGTTCCTTACCCTCCCCCCCATAGTATGCAGTTAATTTTCACGTGCACTTTGGTGAAGAAAATGGCCTCCAAACCCGATGGAAAATCACCAAAAAAGACACCAAAATCAAAAAGCCCGCGTAAAAAGGATAACAATAATGGCAGCCCTTCACCAAGGGCTTCTCCTAGAACTAAAGGAACCTGCGATGTATCGAGAAGAGTAAGGGATTTATGTGCGACTTGGCACGAAATGGTTCAAAAGTGGTCCACTACCAACAGTATTGGTCTAAATGTGGCTAATAATTTGATGAATTTACAGCTTCGACGACAGTAAGAATTTGATTTTTATTTAACGAATTGTTTTTTTGTCCATTACTTGTGTTTATTTGCGAATTTAAAGTGAAAATCTGTTGTTTTATTTTCTCTACAGAACCACTGATGTTGACAGTTCAAATTCAGTGGCTGTTTTGAGCGATTCGAGTCCTTCTGAATCTACGGAACTCGAAGAAAATATACTGAAAACCTTAGAAGAACTATCCCAGATAGTTACTAAAATGGTTGGGTTATTTCTCTTTTTGTCAAGTATCCAAGATTCCCATTTCAGTTATGAAAATTGAAATTCCATTTTTTCAGTCGCAGATCTGCAACAAGATGGAATCAATAACCGAAAGTTTCAAAGCAATACAAAAACTCGGAAATCTCAAAGAAATTGACGATAATAAAGATGAAATAGAAATCTTTTTTAATACTTGGTCTTTACAGCAGTATTGTAAGTATTAAAACTTGCATGTTTTCTTTTTTCTTTTTGCTCACATTATAATTTTAATGCAAGTTTTCTCATTCCTGTCTGAAACAATTTGCTTCCGTCCCTTTAGGTCATTTCTCGCAAAAGCTACATGCAATATACAGAAAAGAAATGGACCTAAAAGAAAAACTATTCCCCCATTTCATAAGGACAAAAGACAGAAATCAGTTGATGGTGTATTTATCGATATGGCTAAACGAACCCTTTTTGGACGATGATAAAGACGTTTTACTAGAAAGTATGTTGATAGAAACTGGTCTGCGTTAAAAATTGACAGGACATAAAAAGAAAATATATCTTGAAGAGTTGTTGATTATTTATAATAAATAAATTTGTAAACTTTCACTTGTATGTTCATAGCTTCCTTCGATAGCTCAGTTGGCAGAGCGGGGGACTGTAGAGGCAAAGCTGTTATCCCTAGGTCGCTGGTTCAAATCCGGCTCGAAGGACTTTTTTTCGACTTTTACTTTTTCAATTATCTTTATAAATGTAGTTTTTTTTCTAAATGGCTAGCAAAGTAATAATTTTCATTCAATACATTTTATTCATAAAACAATTAAACGAAAATTATATTCCAAAACTTTCACAAAAAGCACAGGGAGCCCATTCCTAAACAGAGCTGAAACAAAATTTATGAACTACGAGTTATTTCTATACATGCAAACAAAAGAATCCCAAGACATACAGATAAAAGCAGTTTATAACATTTAGCAATTTATTTTCTGTCCTCATTTACAAATGCATAGATGTTCTCCAAATCATTTGGCAATGCATAGATGTTCTCCAAATCATTTACAATGCACAGATGTTCTCCAAATTTTATCTTGCTATCAAAAACATGCAATGCAGCTATTTCACTCACCTACATCTACATGAAATTTCTAAAATTATACTTTTCATAATTATTACTCTGTAAAAGCCCCAATGGTATGTAATAATTTATTCGATTTCCATATACTTTTGCATGCTGGTCCGGATCCAAACCCCAAATAAATACAATGCAGTAATGTAATTCCATTTGGTTTAAAAGTGCCTATCAGAACAACCGTATATTTGTCTGACTATCAACAGATAATTTAAAGTTTTTACAGTGATACAGCACATATGAGTCTTAATAACTAATTCAGATTTTATTGAATAATTTAATCACTCTTTTTTTCTTCTGCTGGGTTTTCTTGGATGCTTTTGTTTGGAGATGAACCTGGAGTACTTGTTCTCCCTAATTGAGAGCTAAGACGATTGCTACTTGAGCCAAGAATATGACTTGATAATTTACTGCTAAGACTACTGAGGGTGCTTGTTATTCCACTAGTTTGTCGTCTTGATAGAGTGGGCCGCTGAAGTTCTTCTGATGCAGGTTGTAATTCTACTGGAATGTCACACTGCATCCAGTCTGGGATCTTTTTGTCCTGCATGTATTGTTCCTTTGTCACAGAACGATCAGGAAGTATCTCAAGGGAACCAAATATTGCTCCTAAAAAATGAATCAATGTTTGAAAGAAAGCTTGTTTTATCTCCTCTGACTATACATAGTTCATGTTCTTTGGCTTTTAGGCAATGTATTTAAAAAACATATCAGTATATATTTACCTCCAAGCCATGCAGCACAATTTGAGCTGACTGGAGTCTGGTGCATCTTGACAGTTTTGATAAAAAGTCTATCTTTGTACTGTGGTGATTGCAGTAGTATGTATATTTCTTGAATCAAACGATGCCTAAAAACAAACAATGCAAGTAAAAGACCATAGCTATAAGACATGTCAAAAGGTCTTACTTGAATCCTGGTGCCATTGCTGTTCCTCCAATGACAACAATATTTTCTGCAAGGGTTTTTCGTGTATCAATTGGACACTACAAATTTAAGGGGAAAACATTAAAAACCAMGAGGGAAAAAGGAAGACAAACATGGAATTTTACCATTAATAGTGAATCTAGTAATGCTGTAGCTATGGATTTTTCCTCTTCATCTCCATCAAATAGGATGTCATATGTTTGCTCTCTAAACACAGAAAAATAAAGATCAGATTAGTACAATTAATCAGAAGATCAAAGCAATGATTGACCCTTATTTTAGATCCCTTGTATTACATGGTGTCAGTATGTGAATAATACTTGATGACTATATTGTCACTTGAATGTGGATATTTTGAGTTAATATAGTATTTGTTTATTACTTTTCATTGACATAGTTCATGCTACACAAACAAGGAAATACAAATCATATGTATAAACCTTATTTGCCCCTCAATTCKTAGAATTCTGCCTCCATCAAGGGGGTAGTCTACTTGGTGTACCAAGGACGCAGGGCGTGGTTCATCTTTTGGACCACTAAACTTTGGTGCAACAAAACAAGTTCTCACTATAAGAAAGAAATTATGTTTTCATTACTCATAGATATGATATTTATGGTWAATAAGAAGGTTATTACCTTTAATATCTTCCAAAATGTCTTCTGGCAGGGAAGCTAATATATAAGAGATAGTCATTAGAGAAACCATCTGATAGATAACTTTATTTATCAAATACTAATACTAACCCATCACTGATGATAATGGTTTGATTCCTTTTTCTATTTGCACTAAACTTCTATCCATGAGTTGTTTCTCAAGATATCTGAAAAAAAAAAATGAAAAATCAACATGAGTTATGGACAAAGTGAAATGTTGAAAAAAGGGAAAAAACATCAATRCAGTTTCCTTTAATAACAGAATTTATTTTTATACTTAATTTGCAAGAATAAATAARTTTTCATCTGCTTACTCATGAATAGACTTTGCTGCTAAAGGAATTCCTGTTACAGCTTTAATGATTGAGATTCCTTCATAGATTTGTGTTAATCAAGGACAAACAACAAATAGTATTAACTATCATAAACACATCAGGAATAGAGAGGCAATGATAGATTATTCAAAGGATATTGGCAACACAAGAGATTCATTATATCCACAATCAACMACTAGACCGGTTGGGACACCAAGAGTGAATAAGCTCACCAAATGACATGGAGCAAACAATACTGATGGAACCTAAAAAAAAAAACATCTATCATGATATCACACTGCAATAGTGTCAATGAGGAAACATAGAAGATAAAATGGTGGTCAATACACAAGGTGGCTGTATTGGGGTTAAACTGCACATCTTGTCCTTGCCAATATAAGAGATGGTAATATGACAACACTGGACATTTACCAGTCATATATCGACAATGTCCAATATTACATTGACTCAGCCATTGCATGCAGCAGSCTCYMRTGAGCCCTAAACAAAGTCAGATWATAAAAACAAACATACCTCAAAATGCTTGAACAAAACCTTTGCTATTGTTTCYCTGAACAGYGTAGGGCAYAATACAGATTCRCATATAACAACTCTCCTATCTCTTGGATTGACAAGTAGGTATCTTAAAATATCATATTTAATGTCAGTTTACTTGTTGACAATGTTAAATGTACTGATTGAATATGTACCTGAAGTAAATCATGTGAATGAARTCTCTTAAAACTGCATAAAGTTCATCTGGATTTCTTTTGTCATTTTCAAAGACATATTCAGTGTTTGTCTAAAAGAAAAWGTTAAAATCAATTAGTCAATGATACTCTTTAATAACACAACATTCAATAAATGTCAATCATCAACACATTCATCACGCCCAGCCCTAGGAAAGAGACAGAAAAATCTCAAGATGACCAAGAGGATGGAGTAGAGGGGTTCAGTTAAGCGAGAAGCTTTCAAATAATACTCAATCTGTGGTGTATACTGTGAGTTCTATTATTTATGACCATCATTGGCAGGGATGACATAGAGGCTGCAATAAAGCCTGTTGAGGATAGCTTACTAGGTCCCTGATGAAGCATTTTTATTCTACACATGAAGAAATATTTTTAAAATTGAGACTTCCCCAAAGATTCTACCCTCTGACCCCCTGAAGACATTTTGGTCCTCAACAGGGTGAACAAAATCAATTGTTGTTTGGTGTTATCTACACATTCTTAGTGGTCTTACAGTGCCATTCACAGTATGGGTGATGTAGCTTGGAATAATGTGCCTTGGTGCTGCTTCCTTTGCAAATCCACATCTAAAAACGAGAGGGAAAATAAGTTTTTCAATGATATTACAATGTACATTATACTTAAATATCAGGAATCCGTTTAGTTAATCAACATTCACTTTTTTACACTAAGATTTGTTCCTTACTTTGTGTAAGCTGTCCCTATGTCTATCACAACCGCGTTTTTCTCGCCTCCTAACCCAATTATATCAAAAAGTGGCATTTTTTGCCGACTTTCTCGACGCGCCTTGCCTCATGAAAACAAATATGGCGGTGCAGTAGGTGTACCTAGTCAGCGGTAAAAGCTCCACAGGAATCCCATCATACACCTATGATAATAATAATAAAAAAAGATAAAAATGACATTGGTAAAAAAATAGTTATATCTTAGCATATTTCAGAGAGCCTGAATAAGTCTTTTTCTGAATCAGCCATTTTTGAATACATTGTGTTATGGAGACTGACGAAATTTGCAATTCTGTACCAGGAGTCCATTACTCCACTTCGCACTTGCTCTCTTTCTCAGCCTCTCCATTTTTGGGGTAGGGTATTTCGGCAAACTCACAGAATGGGACATTTAATAAAAGAGAAATCTTAGCAACACGAATCTCTTCCTGTTCCTTGACTTCCGGTCGTGAAATAATCTTGATGTCGAGGCTGTGTGCCCGCCATGGACTTATTACTCTTATCAGCGGTATCATTTCCGGTTTACGGGCGAACACCGCGAAGGCCTTCCATTCTTCCATCAGTACAGTTGGTAGCGAGAAATGGCGGCAGATAAAGGGCCTTTCGATGTAGTTGTGGTAGGCTCCTGCATGACTGATCTCGTTAGGTATGTGTATCATGTCCTATGTTAGCTATGTTCTGTTCTAGCGGCGGGCAACTCACCAGTTTTATGCGTGTTTTGTATGGTAGCTATGTACCACGGCTCCCCAAAGCGGGCGAAACCATTCATGGCACGAAGTTTTCAATGGGTTTTGGTGGAAAAGGAGCAAACCAGTGCGTTATGGCTTCCCGTCTTGGAGCTAAGACTGCCATGGTAGCTAAAGTGAGTGTTGTTCCAATGTAGTACTCCAAGATGTAGTAAGATATTGTTAAGGTTCAGTGTGAAATGTGCTGTAGTATGTGTTAATTTAGTCAACCCTGACTTTCAGAAATCGTCTCTCCTTAATGACATAAAATGATGCCTGAATTTTTTCTCATTTAATCTTGCTCTTGTTTCGAGAGGGCTAATTTTGAATTTGATGGTAGTGGAGTTAACCAAGCAAGCTGCTGGTATTGTAGATATATAGCCGTGTCTCTTCTTTTGATGTCTAGCAAACGTCAAATTCCTCACTCCACATCTGACACGACCTAGTCCGTCTAAGTCTGTATTCGGGATGTAATGTGAGTCGGGGCGATTTGGCTTTTCGGTCCTTGAGTGTTTATTGTTTGAAATTAGATCAGGATTGTGTCGTATTTTGTGAAGGTGACTGCAGACAGCTCACGAAAAGTACAAAGTATAAAGGGTTGCTCCCCTTCATTCGATCTCCACCGCACGAATCGTCGCCGGCGCGCTACTATAAGAGTTTTCACCAGGTTTCGCAATTGACCCGCACGTTTACTATGAGTGCAGTAAAGATCAAATTGACGAAAATCTTCTGTGCGACTGRGAAAGTGATTTTATGTTGTTGACGTTTAAATGTTAGTAATGGGTATKYTGCATGCCTGCCTCGTATGATGAATGCACTCATTACACCTCAATTATCGTGTGAAAAAGACATTTGGGTTCCACGCCGTTCGCTCAAATATTTTTTTCTGTGTCGTATTTTGAGTAAACAATTATTGTCCAGTAGAGTAAGTTGGCGTTTAAAAATTTTACATCGTAACCATATAGTAATGTGACTCGAACTCTAATTGCACTTGAATTATTGTAAATGTCTGACGTAGCTAGTTATCAAATTCAGAGATAACATGCATGTGCTTCGTGAGATAGAGTTAAAGTAGAAGATTTTTGCTTGCCTTCGCTTCTGCTGGGTAATTAATAGAATGTTGATGATAGAATGTACAATGATATGCATTCCATAGAATTTTGGGACTTATTTTGCTATTAATTTGGATCATGTAAACAGTGCTTATTTACACAGAAGTTCCAGTAGCCATTCATTCAATCAACAGCCCAAACTGACAGCTGTTTTCAATGTACCATCCATAATTTCAATTCTGACTATTACATATCTATAAGTAGAAAAGATCTTGACATTATGACAAGTCATATGTAAAAATACAAAGGAATCAGTACTCCTTGGAAGGAATTTGCCTTTTTTTTTACAAGGAATATTGTTTGTGGTAGCCAGTAAGGTTTTCAATTTCTGAGCTGTTCATTTCTGCTGGAGTGGCCTCATATTGTTAATTAAAAGCTGTGTTATTTGCAGTCAGGAAAGATTCATTAAGATCAGCTAAAAACATTTTAATTGGACAGACAGCAATGGAGAAAACAGGAAATGCTTGTAGGATATGAGGTGGTGATTACCATAGGAATATTGGAAGAATACTTTATACCCAAACCAAGCCAAGCTTGTCATAAAACACAAGGTTTAATTGTATGGATTTTTATTAATTGTTTATATTCAAACCAAGAAAAGGCTTTTCAAAAGTCATCATCACTCCAGAGCTTAAAGGTTTCTCAGTCATTGTTTGTATCCATCACATTTGCATAGTAGTTTTTGACTCGCTAAGCTCAATTAATGCAATGTAGAAAAGGCAAGTCAATGGATCAAATGTTTCAAAACATTAATTTTAAACACACCTTTTTTGTGATATTAAACATTAGCTTTATTGCTTTTCACTGAATGCATCATTTTACTTCTRTGTTGGGTCATTGTAAGTTTGGATTTAATGATTTWAATGTGTTCATGATTGAAATTAAAAGGTTTGTCTGAACAAGCTGCCAAAATCTGTGACAAATCCATTGTCATGCTAGCAGTCAAGCATGGCCTATCAGACACCCTCCACTAAAGATACTCATTTCCTTGCTGTAATTATTAGTATTGCATTAGCTTCACCATATTATTATTAATTCATTATTTCTTTTCTGTTCTCTTACTGTTATAAAAACCCATATTAAGATTGTTTTTTTAGATGTAGCCTCAGGGATGATTAAGGCTCCCATTCAGTAATGCTGCAAAAGATTTGTTCTTTTGAGTATAGTTTTCATATCACCAATCTCTTACCTTATGTCAGAAGAATTTCACTAAGCTAAAAGGCCTTTTCAATTTTGTTTTGCCAAAAGAGTTTCTTGGTATATAATTATTGCCAAGGGCTTTTATTACTGATCAAGTGTCTATCAAGCAACTGAATAATCATTTTTAAATCAGCTTTACAAAAATTCACTATCTTGTTATGATCTTCTTTGCATATTACATGTAATACATATTTTGTTTTACTTCAATTGTTTGATAAATAGATTTTTTATCAAATGAAAAAAGTCAAGATCTTTGTTATTCATGAAGTCTTATTTTGTTATCTCATCCAACACTTTAATTTGCATAAATGAAAWTTTTTACACTTGTCCGTTCATAATTTTAGCATTTTGTTGCAAATTGRTGCAGTTTTATTTATGAAATTTTGACTCTGTTATAACACTTTCATAAAATAGGCCAAAAAGCATATTCAAGTTCTTTTATTATAATTTGTATAAATCACAAATGAAATAAAGAAATCATATATGCATTTCTTTTTTTGTGAATTTCCAGGAATTCATTAATATGATTCATCTTTTAAAAAAAATGATTTCATCAAAACCCTAAAAGGCACAACATGAATGTGCATTTGCTTAAATTATTTTTGTTGTTGTGGATTKGACACAACAGCTGTCCCATTTTAAACTACACTTTCATCATCAATAATCATTAATTTTTAAAAGTGTAATTTTTTCTTAAATAAAGGAATCAATGTCATTGTTTGACATGCTATTTTTGCATTGATGTGGCATATGTGAAAATGTTGTGATTGGTTAGTGTATATTATGAGAGTCAATACCATTAATRGTTTTGATGTTATATACCACATGCAAAGTGTCTCATCATAGATTGGATTTATGAAAACACCACCTTACAATAATATACTGCTTTTATTGTCATCATGTCATAATATCAGGACATAAATATAATATCCTTGACTATCAATAATTAATGAAGCAAACTAGTGATTAGCATGCAACCTTGTGTTTTTCATGTGTTAAGATTTGACCCAGTKCCTAATACATTGTGGTTTGAGTAAGATTACTGTGGTCATGTTGTAAATCATGTAAGCAATAAACACATCAACCGATACTTCTTTCATTTGTAAACATGTATTTTGGCCATTTGTTTTTTATCTATACTCACTTGAACAGTTTTAGAGCCTTTTTTTCACTGAATTATTCAGAGACAATTGTATAATAAATTTAAAAAGGTGTTAATCTCTGATTGTAATGATTTTTTCAGGTAGGAGATGACACTTTTGGAAGGAACCACATTTCAAATTTCAAGCATAACAAAGTTAATGTTGGTAAGTTGAAACAATTTTTGGTGTATATTCTTATTCTTATCAGCCCTGTCTCAATCTATTAAATCCATCTGTTTAGTCTCAATCTATTAAATCCATCTGTTTAAATAAGCTCCTATTTCTAGCCTATTATTTCATGGATATTTCAATAAGTAAATCACCTAATTTGAAAATTTAATTTTTTTTATCTTTTTATCATGTCATTCTTCCCTCTCTCTCGATCTTTTGATCTTGCATTCTATTATATCCATTTCTTCATCTTGCCATTTACACCTACAAGCAAAGAGATTGTCAAAAGTAAATTGTTATTATAATGTATGAGACTAATTTGAGGTTTTCCTCTATTTCAGATCATGTTTCTTTGACAACTCAGGCATTCACTGGTGTAGCTCCTATATCTGTAAATAGTTCAGGTACATCAACTTTTTCCTATCTCTGAAAAAAGAAAGTTGATCTTCTATAAACAACAAAATGGAGTATTTTTATCTTTATATACCAATGTCAATCACAGGGACCATAGTTATGCCAGGAATGACTTCTAAAAAACTGGCTGTTGCCCAAATGTATTAAAGAGTATCCAGGCTTTTCCTTTTTTCCAATCTGGCATAGTCAAACAAATTCCACATTCCTARGCATGAATGTGGATCAAAACCTTAGACATCAACCCCACTGTCATTAAATTATCATTAAAATGTTTGTTTGAGTGACATAAACATTGTTTTCTTTGAAGGTGAAAATTCAATAACCATTGTAAGCGGTGCAAATGAGTATCTAACTGACAATGACATCAAGAGTGCCAGGTCAACCATTGTTAACTCTGCTGTCGTGGTAACACAATTGGAAATTCAACCCAACATTACTCAACTAGCTCTGGCTTTGGCTAAAAATGCCAATGGTATGTAGTCATTTATCAAGTCAGTGAAATAAATTTTTAAAAACATTTAAGATTATCTAGAAAACAGAAGAAATGGTCTGACATTTATCTAAAAATAATTTAAACCAATGTAGTGACTACAGTTTTCAATCCTGCTCCGGCTTCTCCCTGGCTGGATATCCAGTTCTACAGACTCAGTGATGTCTTCTGTGCCAATGAAAGTGAGGTAAGTCAATATATATTTTCATTCAACAATCATTAGTGGGTTATGCCCATTCAAGCAAAGAATCAAGAATAACTAGCACCCAAACCAGGTCTCAAATCTGCAGGAATTACAGCAGTAACATAGGTCTTCTATTGTAGGCAGAGCTTCTCACAGGAGTACCTGTGAAGACTATTGATGATGCAGAAAAGGCAGTGGTGATGTTGCTAGAACGTGGTGTTGGCAAAGTAGTGATAACTATGGGACCTAGAGGGGCTGTTATAGGAACGCAAACTAACCCCATACCTGAACACATTGCAGTTACACCTGTAGATGCTGTTGACACGACTGTAAGTATAATACTGTGTGTACTAAGTAGGTTGTCTACATAAAAAAAATACAAACATCAATTGTATTATGTAGTTGTAATACAATAGGATCTCTGTTGAATAAAAGATATATTACATGCTTTGAAGGTTAAGGCTGCACAAATATGATCTGGAGTATTCTATTTGATCAAAGTTCTGTGCATAATGATATTTGTCTATATTTATTGAAATTCTGGTAAACTTTCTTTTTCAGGGTGCGGGTGATGCATTTATTGGTGCTTTAGCTTTCTATTTGGCAAAATTCAAGAATTTAACTTTTAAAGAAATGGTCAAAAGATCTAATGAAGTTGCCAGAACAACAGTTTTTAAACGTGGCACTCAAACAAGCTTCCCAACATGCGATAGTTTACCGCCATCATTCTTCAGCAATACTAATTCTTCAGATAGCAAAACAATATGATACATGGATCAGTAGTCCTTGTATTACCTTGGTTTCATGTGAAAATGGGATTACTACAAATATTAGTCATTATAATTTTAGTTCTTGTATTTTTGGTTATTCTAGGTTTTATTTTACAAAAGACAGTGGGAATACTAGTCAATTTGAAACAATATATTATTTCCAAATGAATGAATGGTTAAGAAACCATTTTATAACCTGGCTATTGTAGTGCTTTGGTTTTATTGAGTTTTAGCATAGGTATATCAACCTACAGTGTATATGCCACATATTATTGAAAGGGACCAACACTAACCCTTAGTTGTATACACCATAGTACTTGGTGTTATTCTTTTAAAGTTTGTACATTTTGGGCAAAACTGAGAAGTATAGAGTTTGTTTTCAATCACAGAAAAGTATTTTGACATTTATTAGAAAAGCAATGCAAGGAAAGGGAAAACTGTTGATGTTTTATTAACAATCTTTTCCTCTATCACTTTTTGTTATATTAGTATGGGAAATGTATGTATATGTTGACAGCAGTCCTTGTTACTTTATGGGGAGTATCTGGCTGTGCCTAGTATTCCCTCTTCAAAAGGACAACATACTGTCAAAATTTATTCTAAAAAACAAAAAACAAAAAAAAACAAAATAATATGGTGCATCAGAAATATAAAGTATCTAGAATGCGTGGTGGATTATAGAACCTGCAAGCAGAGTTTTATCCAGAACTTTTCATAGGAAAATGATTTCTGCTTGTAACAGAATAAAGTATTCTTACAAAATAAGAATCAAAACATTTACTAGAAATTATGTGTGAATGGACAGGGAGMCCATAACAGATATGGCTTCTCCCTGGTGTTATGAAAATATATAGCAGAAAATTAGACAATGGGATTATAACTTCAATATGATTTTTACCTATGGCACAATATATTATATACATATAAATAATAGACCATTCCCAAGATGTACTTTCAAAAATATCATGAGGGCATGGGAACACAATGCTGAAAAATGCTACCAAATGCTGAAAACAGTCTTGTTTTTAGGTGATATTTCTAAATTGTCATACATCTTGGAATGCTCCATTGTTGAGTGTTTTTGTGTTTTATGTACAGTCAGATATCACAGAAATGTTATCAAATTGTTGATTTAGAAAGATATAGAGGTTCATGTACAATTATTATAGGTGCAGTTGATTGATCAAATAAAGTCAATAAGTAAATGAAAGTGTTTTGTACTCGTGGATTCACAGAAACTGTTGTATTGGACTTCAAATTTCACATGATGTCATTTGGATTTGGAAATTCTGCACCCTGGGGGCAGAGCTTATTACAAATCAACCAATAACTGAACAAGTTTATCAAAATCTCCATCCCTAAGAGCTTATTACAAATCAACCAATAACTGAGCAAGTTTATCAAAATCTCCATCCCTAAGATAACAAAATCCCAAAAAATTCAATATGATGAAGTCGTAATTCATTTTACTTGAACTTAACAATAAGTACAAAAATAATAAATCTTCATGCAAGTTTTGATGAGTGTTGGACACTGGCACAGTTCAGTGTTCTATTAACTTTCAAAATTGTACTTCACATGATTTATCAAGCTGCTTGCATTGTATAGACTCTAAATTGTGCTGAAGTGTTATTCCATGTGAGTTCAGTAAATCAATTAGTACTTCATATTCCTCTCCTAGTATTCTCCAATTAGCTCATTTATCACAAGACTTTCAAACTTAAATTATAGCCACTTTTCTCAGGAAGCCTTTGTTCATGTTAATGGCATCATTGGCAATATTGTTCTTTCTCTTGCATTTGTTTYCAATTTGCTAAGTTGAGGTAGTCTTTTAAATAGTTGGATGTATAGTTTTATGTTCTGCTTGTTGACTTCTATCACTTTCCTTTCTTTACTTTTTGTTCTGTAAACAGCACATGTTGTTTCACTGCCACAAAAAAAGAGAACAAATGAGTCTTTGTTGGTATAATTCACAGTACGTTAGGATTCAAACTGAAAAATAATAACAGCAATGACTTTGAAATCTCATCCAGTTCAARTAGGAGTTCAAAATGAGATGATACTCAAAACGGAGTGTTTTTTTTTATTGGCCCGTGAATTTGTAAACTTTATCACTATTGACATGAACATGTCTTGAAATAAAACTTAGTATATACAACCATACCAATAGGATCATATTTCATTAATTGCAGTTTGTCTTTGAGTCTGTTACGTCTCATCATGTAGAAGAATCCTGTTCCAGCCATACTAACGAGTCTGACAACCAAGGTTCTACAAAATCACACCATGAAACACATCAGAGAATAATATTAATGCAATATACAGAAGAATCTTTCTCTCTCTCCAGTCTCTTCTCTGCTCTTCCTCTTTTAGGCCACTATGCAGAAAGTGGGKGTAAAATGAACCCATAAGATTTGACTTAGTAGCCAAMGTATGCACATACAGTATCAGGAGTCATTGACAAAGTAAACGAAATAAAGAGATAATAATTAACTTACTTTGCTTTTGCTTTGGCCACTGTAATTTTTCATGAAAAAGAAAAAATGTAATTTATACATTCAGTGATTATGATTGGGGTTCCTGTGGAACTTCTGAAATAAAGATTTTCGTAGAGTTCTGCAATTTTTAAACGTTAAAACTGAGAATTATATTTTCAAACAAGTTGGAAAACGTCTAAAACAGTCTATTGAATCAGATTGTAAGTCAGATGTAAGGACCGGATGCTAAATATCATAAAGGCCCTCTATGACTCTTGAAATATTATTCAAAATCCTAAAAAAATAAAATCRACAGATAACAAAACGTTCACGAAACACTATAGGCACTTACTTGTTAAAGTGTCTTTTTAGATAATTCCTCGATAAAATAACAAACAGCCTTTGTAGGTTGCCTTCGGTCTAAAGTATTAAGGAACGGTGGGTATCTACCGCTGATCTATTACTGAAGCCCGCACTCTTTCTTTCCAGCAAAGCAATGCATCATGGATAATATTTTGAAAATGGCGCGCGTACTGTACAGATAGTACTCATTCTTTTTTTCATTCAAACAAGCTTTAAATACTTGTTTATGAACAATGATGCCATTGAGCGATAATGATTCGTGCTTTGGGTGAAGATGTCCGTTCACTTCTACGATCAGGAATTGCCGTGTCAAGTCTAACGCAATGCATTGACGAGCTGGTTTTGAACAGTTTGGATGCTAGTGCCACTTGTGTCACCGTACGTGTTAATATCCCAGCACTACAAGTACAAGTATCAGACAACGGCACTGGAATATCWAGAGATAGTCTGAATGCTTTAGGCGAGCGCTATGCGACGAGTAAATGTCATTTACTGACTGATTTAAATGATATCAAGTCCTATGGTTTTCGTGGCGAGGCTCTTGCAAGCATTCGCGACATTGCTGGCAGTTTAGAAATTGTAWCTCGCCACAAGGCATCRTACAAAACCTACTGTAAAACATTTACAAGTGACAAAGCTGTAGACATARCAGAATCATGCATTCCTCGTTCTGGTGTYGGTACAACCGTGACTGTGTACGATCTGTTCTTTTCACTTCCGGTTAGACGTAAACTTGTATCTGATGTGCTTGACTTTGAACGGATCCGTCAAAGGGTAGCTAGCATAGCCCTTATTAACCCTGGTGTTTCCTTCTCTTTGTTTAATGATGCAACTGGTCAAAAGAGTCTTCAAACGCGTAAAAGTCAGTCGATAACCTCGACATTTTCCCAACTGTTTGGTAACCTCAAAGCCAAAAGTTTGCAGGAGTTGARCTTGGATTGTGGTGACTTGGCARTCTCTGGTTATGTAGGCTTGCAGACCCATCATAGCAAACATTTACAGTTCGTGTACATTAATGGACGTTTACTGATGAAAACAAGAATACACAAGCTTATCAATCAATTATTAAATAGGTCTTCGCTGATCAAGAAACCTTTATTGAGCATGAATGATAATTATGAATCAAGCACCAGCAAGTCGCCTCCAAAACAAGGTTGTGACAAATATGGTATTTATGTACTTAATTTAACATGTCCTRTTATAAACTATGATATAACTCTAGAACCATCCAAAACTCTAGTGGAGTTTGAGGACTGGGACAKTGTGYTTGAGCTTGTCAAGAAKTGCATTGAGTCATTTCTTGTCAAAGCAAACTTGATGCTSTCYRCAGATACAACTGAGGATTCARTTGAATCWYTAGACTCCTCAAGTGACAGCCAAATCGACCTCAGTAATTATGARTACCAGGCAGAAACAACTACACTTMAGCATGACTACTCAATCAATCCTGATAACATCAAGAAAAGCTTACAGTCTTCTGTAGTCAGCAGAAGAACAAACARCAATAATGACAACCTTACAGATGAAATAGAGATGCTGGACAAATCACAATTGTCACCAATGGAAGACAACATTTCTCCTTTAAAAAGAAAGAGAACAGRAGCTATATCATCATCACAGCAGCCAGGAAGTAAGGAATCATTACCAGGAAAAGTCCCCAGTAATGCAAGTCAGCTTGATAACTGTTTTACTTCCCCAAATCCAATAACATTAAAGTTTCAAAAGCAGTCACTTTCTAGTAGCGCAAAACGATTATCTGGTATTACAAAGCATTATAATCATGCCTCTTTAACACAGATACACCCAAGGATACATTCACATTCCCTAGACCTAGACAGTGAATCAGATTCTGAAATCATTGCCACAAAAGAACGTTTTCAGATAATTACTGATGACAAAACCAYRRATAAGGAAGGTGGTGATGGTATGCCTAATGGTTACAGTACAAATGAACAGTGCATGATGGATAATAATGATGTCATCCTCAGTGACGATGGAGTAGACAAARTAATGGAAGAACACAAAGACAACATTACAGAACAGGGAAAACTACCTGGAGTCTTACCATATACATCAGACATAGATGAGAAAGATGATATACCATCTTCTCTATCCTCAGACTGGCAGGTTACCTATGATAACAATCTGAAAAAGAACATATACTACAATGTCCGTACTGGTAATACTGTCTTTGAGTGCCCAGCAAATGAGCAAGCAAACCAAGACAAGTATAAAAAAAGTATTGTACCTTTAGTATGTGCACCTCATCTGTCTTTTGAWTRTACTCCATGGCTGCCACGTGATGACAGACAAAGAAGAACAGCCATTGGTAAGCTCTTCTTGAATTTGGTTGTGAKTTTTKGAGTACTTCAATTTTTACACCTTTTTGTCATGGTTTATCTGTTACCTCKTCAAATCTGTTGAAACTTCTCTTTTCTATTCATTATGTCATCCAGTTGAATCATCAGGGAGTGAAAAGCAGCCCACCTCTCTCTTATCTACCATGCTGACAGAGTGGGAAAATCCTGTTTTTGAGGTGGTTTCAGAAATGGTAAAGTATAAAGCTTGCAACTACAAACGTTTTTACAGTTATATTTTTCAATTAATACCATCTTTCGGTGTTTTTTTTAGGATGTAACAAAGTTTTCTAAGCCAACAGTAGCAAAAGCTTCCCTCCACAAAGCTGTTTTGTCTTATCGGTTTACTAAAGAAATGGTTAAAGCTCTTCAAGTCATCCAACAAGTCGACAATAAGTTTATTATTTGCCAAGTACAAGGAGATGTTGGTAAGGCTGTATGATAAGTAGCTAATTAACAATGTAAAGTGCAACACATTTGGGCCTATGAAATTGTGATAGCAGCTTGAAGAAACACGTTCCACTCCRACTATACAATCACATATTTACTGGAGATGGAGCTTCTACGCCCTTAGTATGTGCGTGGACGACTGATGTTTTCATCTTCATTAGCTCATGATTCTCTGGTCGTTTTATTGGATCAACATGCAGTTCACGAAAGAATACGTCTAGAGAAGCTAACAGAAGGTTGGTGCGATGATTTTGATAACATGTTTATGACGATGATATGATGATATTAATGACGTGAAGCGTGTAAATGAGTGTGTATTAGTGAATGATGATTATGGAATCATAGTGATGATTGCGATAATGATAATTACCGTTACTGATGATAGGAATGATCACAATAGTTTACAATGGATGTGTTATTGTTTTTTCATCGATAGACTTATTCATCACCAAGAGTCAGTCCRATGGTCATCTGCCTAGTATTAAATCCTCCGGAGTCTCCCCTCCCATCGAGCTTGGATTCACACCGCCCGACCTTCTGCTCATCAAGCGTTTCCGGCGTGAACTGGGTAGAGTCGGTATTAAGTTTGTCGTTGGGTGTTGTCCAGAGTCGAGTGAACCACGAAGCATRATTATACACGAGCTTCCTTGCGTGTTCGTAGAGCGAGAGGTTTCCGAGACACGACGCCRGAGACCCTCAGTAGCTGAAGCGATTGTTAAGGTATATGGCTAATTTTAGGATAGCAATTTTTTCTCTGGTGTTACTAAAAGGAATTAAAATCGATGCCGACTTAAATTCGGTTATTTGAATGGTCTTTGGATTCCGCAAAATATTAATCAATTTTCACGTTTTTGTGGTCAGTTTTTCATCCGGTGCGYGCGATTGTAAAATACCGCCGGCCGTATCATATTCATAGGGCGGTGCCTTTTTAAAATAAAGCAGTAAAGCAAGAAATTCTTTAGGCGTTCCCTCCTCACGAAAAAGATAAAAARTCTAATCGTAAGCGCATACTTTTGAATACGGCTTCCATATTAAGATGTGACGCAGGCTATCCTGTATCATCATGGGAAAAACGATTAAGATGCAGCAGCCGTGTCAGGAAAAGATATCATCAAATCATTATATTGCTATTCATTTTTTTCTCGAGATTTTTATCTTAATTTGGTGATTTCTTGTTTTGTAGGAATTAGTGGAGAGTCATATCGAGGTAAGAGATTGATTGATCGTCATGTTTAAAAGTCAGTTTGTCTCTCCAGCTGTCGTCGTTATTCTTGATTTTCATTGATAGTGAAGCATGGACGACGGCACGTCTGAGTGTTTCAAGTATGCTGTTTTTTTTATTATTACTCTCTASACTCTGACCACTTAGCGTCCCCTAAAGCCACGATTAACGCGTGCGTACGATGRCTGCTTACGTTTTTCGTCTGTTTTCGTTGACAGCATTTRAAGCAAACCAATGGCGTTCCACCTGTCATACCAAAGACTATKTTACGTGTGTTAAGCTCRCAAGCTTGTCACGGTAATGATGAGTTWACTTAAATCTGGATATTTGAAACCGATATTTTTCATTCATACGATTTACACGAAACCACCGAAAGCGATGACCGTATCCGGGTATTTTTGGACGGAAAACAATGATCGTTTTACACATAGTTAATAGAGGGTCCCCTCTATTAACTATGTTTTACATAACTCTCTGTTTAATCATGGTTTAATAGGTGCTATCAAGTTTGGCGATGGTCTTTCTAAAGAAGAATGTGAACGACTGATTCACCAACTGTCATCTTGTGACTTACCATTTCAATGTGCTCATGGCAGGTACAAATATCCTATCACACTTATTTCTTTCTGCCTTATAACATACAGGGAACTGGGAAATCCAGCCTTACGGCCACCCGCTTAATCGGTCACCCCGTTACAACGGCCAGAATTACACTCTCGTGCTTTTCTACCCTGTTAAAATGTCCGACCCATYAATACGGYCACTTTTSGATGTCCCTTTGTGGCCGGATAACTGAGGTTTCACTGTGATCAAAACAATAGTCTAGTTCACAMGACCAACGCCAGCAACACAAATGCAAAKGYAAAAAATAAATAAACAAAGAATAAAACTYGTCCATTTTCTTGCGCTTACATATGCATTGGAAATGTGAACCACGCTGGTCATTAGATTTAGCAGGCCACAGTGATATTTTGTTTGACTGAGCATGCCCATAAGAATTGAAATAAAAGCAATAAATAATCATCCAGGTTCCCTGCTTCATACTTGTGTGGGTATTCAACAYAACACAGGAAGCCCAAGACAGGAAAAAAAAATCTGTTTTTTTTTTATATTTAACAGACCGTCAATCATTCCACTGGTTGATTTAAAGTTGCTTGAATCAAGAAATCAGCAGTCAATGGTTAGTTGTGTTAGCTTGCTCAGTAAGGACTATACAAAAGCCTTTTAAACCATATAAATATTGTATTTTTGTTACTGTTTTTCAGGCTGAAGCTAAACTTCCAAAACTGAGTAAGCTGTCAAGTGTCMTGGGACATTGAACTAAAATAGAATATGGAAAATACACTTTTAAATTATTTTTATTGCTTTAAATTGTTTGTACAGCAAGCTTATGATATTAAAATAACTCTGACTTTTTCTTAGGTCTGTGTAATCCTTTGTATGGGTCAAATATTTCRTGAAAGTCRTARTCATCTTTTTKGACTCGTTTTTTGAGAGACTCTTTAGCTGCCTTGTTGCTAGGTGATGCAACTACAATTGGTCTGTTACCAAGTTCCTGTCTAAACTCTACAACGTTTAGACCAGTTCTGTCTGCCAATTCTTGATGTGTTTCCTGGCAAGAATRTTGCTGTTATTGGGAGATTTGGTTACAAAACTCATTCATATGAAAAAATTAATAGTGTACCTGGCTAGTAAGGCCTTGAAATACAGCACGCACAAGATTGAGAGGCGTAGTCGGACCAATTACTTTACAGCGCATGTCATCAATACCCAGTAATTCAGCTATTTCTTTGATTGCACGGTGACATCTTAAACCATAGCCTACAACATTGATTTCATGTTTATCCATTCTATTTCCATTTTAATCAATATCCATTTTTTTTATTTTATTCGTCTATCAATTGAAATTATTTCATTCACATCTCTCACACCTTTTTAAACATTTCATTTACTCTTGAAAACAGAATACACAAATTGACTCCATTAAAATCATATACAGTATACTTCAATATATATTTTCTTTCATAAATGTATTCATGTCTTGTGCTTACCACTTGGTTTCCTTTGAAATATTATTTGCGTCTTTTTGTACTGTGTCTCCAAATCATGGAAAACTAGCAGAAGTACAAAGATACTAATGTCATTAAAGATTCAAAGATATACAAGTTGGGTGCCATGATTACTTACTTGTGTGGCCGTCACAGCGTTCTACGTAGTACAAATAGTTTGCTGCAGTATTTCTAGCCTTGAAGTCAAAATATCRATAACTTAATATCATGAATGTTACACTGAAAATCATAATTTATTGATGGTACCTTGCGGATAGCAGTCATTGGTGTACTGCCCTTTCCAACTCCAAACCCTGAGAGCAAAGGCAGAAGTATTAAGTTATTTTTTATACTACCTTAATATCATGTGACAAGGATCACCTCAACAAGAGTTACATGACTGAGAGAGATCATGTGATGAAGCATAAAAGGGCCAAGACCTAATGTTATGTAACTGAGATRGATGTAATAGGGAGAGGAGATCACTTTATCAAGTCATGTGACAAGAAGGGATCAAACATGTCATTTGTAATAAGGCATATGTTTATATTAACCTACCAGCAGCACCATTCCTGTTTCCAATAACAACCAGTGCTCTTTGTGACCTTTTCTTTCCTCCAGATGTAACATTGCTAACTCTCACCAGCTAGAACCAAAATCGCAGTATAGTGTAACATTATCAGGTAAGGGTAACCCCCAATCTCACATTTATTATTTAAAAAAAGGAAGACTAGTCTGTGAAATGCTCTTATGACTGTCAATGAATTATCAACATGGAAAGTCTAAAAGAAAATGAGAGGCAGTTAGTACARATCTACTTCCTTTCAAAATAKAACATACCTCAAGAACAACAGAATCAAAATCTTCTAACACTTCTGTGGAAAACGAAAAAATACATTATATATAAACATATGGTCAATATTGGTCAGAAATATGATTGATTGGCTTTAAGAAAGGTGAAATAATTGKTTTGCCTTTGTCTGGTCTTTCTGGACTGCCAGCCTTTCTTCCTGGCCATGTTCTTCCACTCCACCCTCGACTCCATGGTATTCTTCCTTTTCCAGTTTTTTCCCATTCTTTCTTTYCCGTAACTTCTTTTTCTACTTCTTCAGCTCCTTCAAGAACAACAGGGGCATTGAATCCTTCCCATTTAGTTTSACCACGGCCATATTTTAATTTCTCTGGGTCAACACCCTTCTGTACTGTTTTCTTTCTTCCTCGTCCAGTTCCTCTTCCTCCTGTTGCTGCAGTCCACAGCTTTTCATATTCCCCTACACAAATTTAAACTTTGTTACTGTTTGAAAACCCATCAGTTCAAGATATTTAAGGCAGTTCATTTGTGCTTCAATGGAGTAAAATATGGGGGCGAGATCCCCATAGAAATATATCATACCATCTCGACTTGAGAAGTTCCTGCATGTCATCTGAGGACCAGTAACTGAAATATAGACATTACAATTKTTGTCAAAACAAAAAATAGATAAAAGTAGCGTCTGTTTAATACACTTAAAAAACATTGAATTTCAGATAGCKTTTTCTGGCTTAGGAGTTTATTAGGAATGAACGTTATTACAATTTTCTGACATTAATTCTTCATTGATCTAATTTTTATTACCTTKAACTGATAGAAGACTAACTCTATGTAAGATCCTTGCATTAGCAGTGGTCAATAAAGACGAGTTTCGGGGTAAAATTGCTCTTGTAGTTGCTGCACATGCTAACCTTACCAAATTGACCGCCATTTTGTTTTACCACAGGAAGCCCGCTTCCAAATCGTAGGTAAATCGTAAAAAATATATATTTATTTTCSGGTAGAACAAAAATTGAAATCATTTTAGATATTTATTAAGAAATTCATAGAGATAAAGTAGATTGAATTGTACAAATTTTTACATGTAATTCCTATTATTCTTTTATCTCTTCAGCAGTTTGTTGGGATTCCTGTGTGAAAAGCAAAATGGTGGCTTCAAAGTTGTTCTCAACTTTGAGTCGAACACAAAAAAGGTTTTTGCAGTTTGGGGTTCCGATGGTGGTAAGATACAATATGCAAATAGCCTATTACTTAACGTGTTATCRAGTAATACTTTGAATYTTTAGGTGTTGGTTGTAGCCGGCTCATTTGGGCTGAAAGAATTCACWGATATCAAAATCAAACGACGAGACTCCAAGAATCGTAGGGTAAACTCAGTGCTTTTATTAAATGCTTTTATCAAAGTACAGATTATTCGCTAATGTTATTATTTCACTGATCTTGAAGTAGCAGCAGCAACTCACATCATCCTCTGTATATTAAAATATCCCATTTATTTTTTCCATGATATTTTCATCCCATTTTCGCAGGGATTTAAGCTTAGTGACAAAATCATTTGGCTAATCAATCTTCCAGTACGTGTTGTGTACTTCAAGTCTAAGGAAACCTGGGGGGAGGGATTCTGGGGTAAAAGTACCARGGATGCTCATTAGATTTCTTAGGGGTAAAAATTTGTGATATTTGGGAATCTTTTAGGGTGCCAATTTGGAGTTTCTGGAAATTTGCATTTTCTGCAATCTCTTAGGGCGTTGGAAAAGAAGAGAAAAGAGCGYGCTGATATTGATTAAATATTTTATACTTTATCGTTGGAACTGATTTAATTTAATAATATTTGTTGTGCAATCTCTAGGRGTTAAAAATCAGTCAGCCATGCCTTTTTTTCAATGCTTCCAGGATTGTTTAGGGGTCTTTTTGAAAATTTCTGATGAGCATCCCCAGAACTTTTACCCCGGAGTTCCCCCCAAGCAAGGAAACCTACCTTGGCTCCAGATGTTTCACACCATTTGTCACATTTGTGGTGTGTTTTTGCGAAGAATAATTGTGGTGTAGAGAAGTTTRATCTCTGACATCTCTAGGCCAGGATAAGGGAAATTTATTTAATAATAAGTGCTATTTTTTCACAGTTGTCAAGGGAAGAAGCTCTCAGTGTTTTGCCCAGGAGAAAAGATGATGTTACACTAGAAGATGCTTATTCTGTAASAAATGTTTGCATGAAACCKTTTTGATTTGCATACTTTTTGGACATTTACTTTGTCTCATTTATTCTAAACATAATTTTTATTTGAATGATCTCTAGGAAATTCAGAAAAAAGTTGATATTGATACGTGGGAAAATAAAAGAGGACCAAGACCATGGGAAGACATGTCAAAGGATAATAGAAAATAATGAAATAATTGATTTTATCATGTAAATAACTTAGAAAATGAACAAACAGTGAGATCATCATGATATGCTAAATGTTGTAAAAATGTTACTGGATTATGAATGTATTTCAAGGAGACAACACCGGAAGAAAAAAAAKAAAAATGAAAAGAAAAAATGTAAATATTAATTCAATTTAATTTTGAGTTGATAGTTTTGAGAATAAACATTTACACTCTCAATGAACGAGAAATGCACAATTACCTTATCTAAATTATRGAAGGAAGCAAGTTGATACTAGAGCTGATTTCATTTTCAGGCGGGCTTCCTGTGGTAATGGGTTTCCTGTGGTGACCACATGGTACAAACAAGATGGCGACCCACACGGATAAAAACAAAAAGAAGAAAAAAACTCGTAAAGAAGTTAAAGACTTTTCACTAGAGGATGTATTGGCCGTCGGAGGTGATAAGGTAAGATATAGAGCTCTTATCTTATGTTTCTCCATTTCGTCTGCAAATTGCACTCAAAAAATCTAAATATGATATTTAGGATGACTTTGAGATGCTAAGAGACGTATCTGCGTTTAATGAGTTAACTACAGACAATCAAATCAAAGACAGTGAGCCAATACGTAAAGACGAGGTAAAGTTTTTAGTGTGATAGATCTAATCGTTCCAGGAATAAGTTTATGTCTTTAATACAAGTAAATTTCTATGCAAAAAGTGACGTCCAGGTATAATGTCTTCATTTAATAGTATTCTTACCTTATTTCCATTGATACATTGCTGCAAACTTTTCAGACTACGATCCTTAGTATTCTAACTRGCACTAGTAAATATAATGTTAAATACTCAGGGATCCCAATATTCTGAATCACTTTGTTCCATAGGTATTGTCAATGATCCAAGAACTTGGTCTTGATAAAGTTATTCCAGAACCAGAAGATGCTGAAGAGTACGTTAAAAACATTGATGTGTTTCCACATAAAATCATTGATTCCTAATTTTTCATATTTGGATTTAGGAAATTAATAGAAAACAGSCAAACTAAAGAAMATGCTGAAATACAAACAAATGAMCAGCCTGAACTCRGCAAAACCAAAACRAAGATTAAACAGAAGAAAGATGAAGAAGTGAAAGCTGACCAAAATGRCAAGAAAATAGAAATAAAWAAAAATGAACCTAAACAAAAGGAAAAACAAGATTTGATCTCTGATCAAGCTGAGATTGAAAATGTAGACTTACAATTCAAGTTACTTATTAAACCTGGTGGAAAGTGGTATGACCAGGTAAGCTTTCAAAATATGTGTTTATTGGAATAAATATGAAGGTGAAAAATGGTTGAATTTTATATGGTTTWTCRTCTAGATTCCSGAGGATGAAAAACTCAAAACTGATCTTTCTGCCAGTGACGTAACAAGGCTTAGTAATCAGGCTGTGAACATTTGGCAGAATGAATGTGATCTTTATCAGAAAAGTATGTAATAATCCATTTACATTGTTTATCAGATATCTTTATTACTATTATTTATTAAAATATGATATTTGAGGTCACAATAATTACTGCCATGATATCTTACAGTGAAGGAAAAGCGTAGCTCTTCAGAAARCAACTGGATGAAGACAGTAGTTTCATCTGGAACTCTTGGAGACAAGATTGCAGCCCTTACTTTACAAGTACAAGTGAGTTCTGTTTGCTATTATACGAATTGTCACTGTAGATTGATTRAATTATTGTGGTTGTAACTCCTACAGGAATCACCTGTTCATCAGATGAAGGCTCTTGAACTGTTAGTCACAATGTCCAAGAAGAAAGGCAGAAGAGAAAGTATTTTGGCAATTGGTAAGACTTGAAAGATGCATCTTCAAGTTGTTGTATTATGATAAATATTCATTAAGCTTTTATGTGTTTAACCAGATACCTTGAAAGACCTTTGGCTTCAAGATCTTCTTCCAGAAAATAGAAAGCTGCGGACCTTTGCACAGGCATGTATTACAGACAACTATGACAGAACATAGCTGCATGTAGTTGGTGACCAGWCATCTAATAATTAGATGTCYGGTCACCATTAGTTGCTAAACAGCTTWTCAATTAGTTGCTAAACAGCTTATCAAATCATTTCCATAGCAACCATTAGCCTTATTCAAAGCAAACAATAAAAATAAGTTAACAAAAGAAGCCCAGCAGACACGATTGATTCTATGGTACTATGAAGACRTCCTTAAACAGAAATATATKGAGTTTGTATCAGCTTTAGAGGTATGATTGTTTTTATGATGCCCATAGTTTTCTGTTTATGTTACTTTATTCTTATTCTCCTTAACTTAATTTTTCTTTAGCAACATCTTCAAGATACCATCACAAATATCAGGAGTAAAACACTAGGTAGTTTTTCTATGTGGCTTTTTTTATTTATCGTTTGCCYATCTCATCCAGTGGATAACTAAAGTTGTTGTCATTTTAGGTGTTGTTTTTGAACTCTTATCACAGACACCAGAGCAAGAACAGGTTGAAACACTTGATCACCTTTACTCTCCCTTTCCCCTCCCTTTCTGGTCTCTTTTCTCCTTTCTTTTGTACATTGTAATATATCTCTTCCCTTTTTAGCATCCTTTTTTTCATTCTCTCTTTTATAAGTTTACGGTTTTTAAGCTTGAAATGTTTGACTCATTCAAATTATTGYGATTCTTCACAGTCTTTACTTAAGTTTTTGGTCAACAAAGTTGGAGACCCTGATCGTACTGTAGCATCAAARGCTTCACATTTGCTAAGGTCATTAGGTAGGAAAAGCAAGGTTTTCTCATTTAGTAATATATATGAACAAATTCTATACCTTATTTACAGTTACCAAGCATCCAAATATGAAGAATGTCATAATCAAAGCTGTTGAGATGTTGCTATATCGACCAAACATTARCAGCAAGGCACAGTAAGCAGAAACAGAAGTGATTCTTAAAAACAATTTTGTCACTTAATGAATGTGTTTCATCTTTTACCTTTAGATATTATGCTGTGTGTTTCCTCAACCAAATCATCTTAACCAAGAATGATCATGAGTTAGCCAGTAAACTTATTGCTATCTATTTCTCATTTTTCAAGGTATGTCTTAGGTAGACATGGTTGGTGAGTCTTGATGACTAAATGATTAACTTTGTGTTGTTTGCTTTTGTTTGTCTTCTTTTGGTTTGTCGGTTTTTTTTATATATTTTATGTGATGTTTTTAAGTTGTTTCATTTTAATTKATATGTCTAGTTATTTGTAAAGAAAAGTGAAGTGGAAGCAAAAATGTTGAGTGCTCTTTTAACTGGTGTCAACAGGGCATTTCCATTTGCTAAAGGTAAGACATGCCCCCTTCTAAAAAAATAGTAAGGATCTTTATGCCAACAGTGAGAACCTCTTAGCCTCTTGATGCCCTTATTTAATTTTGGATTAGTTTAGCAATGCAGTAGCCTATATCTGACTTTTGAGAAGGCCTGGAATTGTATTGGCAAAGGTGGACTTTCCCAATACCTTTCTGGACCTGTCTTTATCTGTCAATGAAGATGTTTAAGATCCTCTTTTGCTTTTAAAGATGAAGAGGATAAATACAGTGACCAATTGGATATGCTTTTCAAAGTTGTACACATTGGATCWTTTAATACAAGTATACAGGTATTAGTGTTACTGAGATACAAATCTTTGCTTGATAAGTGTATTGTTTAATTGTTTCATGTGGGTCTATTTTTTTTAGGCCCTAATGCTGCTGCTTCAAGTCATGGATGTCAGGTAAACAACATTTTGTTTCAGTGACTCACAGTGTACATTGTAATTAATACACCTGATAAATATGATTTCCATATCAGTGGAAATAATCATATGAATGCCGTCCTGTGTCATGTGAAYGTATGGTTGATTGAGTTCTGCCAGTCATATGGAAACCAGGTAGTGACTGAATAAGTCTTTCTTGCTGATTTTAGGCAGTCAATATCTGATAGATATTACACAGCYCTGTACAGCAAACTACTAGATCCTTCCCTTGGAACATCACCCAAACAAGCCATGTTTCTCAACACTCTTTTTAAATCACTAAAGATGGACACTTCAGTTGTGAGGGTCAAGGTAAGATAAATTGACAAACTAATGAAGGAAACATTTTGAGCTCATTTGATGTGTTTTAATTTACAGGCATTTATTAAAAGACTTCTTCAAGTTTGTAGTGGTCAGCAACCATCATTTATTTGTGGTGTCTTATACTTGGTATCAGAGGTATATACATGTAGCTAGAAAGTCATGACTTTTCTATAAGTACTTTTAGGTAACTCACTGTTTACTTTCTTTGAAGCTGGCAAAGATAAAACCAGGAATTAAAAGTATGATTCAGCAACCAGAGGTGATATTGAATGTGATAAAAGACATACTTTTGGCTGTTAGGACATATTTGACTGACATGGAAATGTAAATTATGTTTGAATTACAGGAAGAAGATGATGAAGAACATTTTGAAGACATTCCTGATGAAGACGATRAGCTAGATCAAGATGAAAATGACAGTGAACTAAAAGATAACAGTGATGAAGAAAAAGATGGCAAAAGTAAAGAAGAAACAAATATCAAAACTGTAACAAAACYTAAACAGTATGACAGTAAATCAAGGAATCCATTGTACAGTGGTGCAGAAGRCAGTTGTTTATGGGAAATCACCAAATTGTTTGATCATTATCATCCTTCTGTATGTCATTTTGCACATTTAATTTGTGAGGTGAGAAATAATATTTAGGGATTTATGGACCATATTTCTCAGAGTTTTATTTAGTTAATTCAGTTGTTTCAACAAAGTTCGTCCAATATCTTTCCAGGGTCAGGAAATAGTTTACAAAGGTGACCCACTTCAAGACTTTACCTTAATGAGGTAACCGCTTTCTTTGTCTGTTAGTATGAATGGTTCTGTATATGATGTTTGTAATCGTTTTGCCAACACTGCTTATATTTATACAATTACTGTATTATAGGTTTTTGGATCGTTTCATCTACAAGAACCCAAAGAAGAAAATTAATGGTAAAGCAATATTGATATAAAATAAAGTGATAAGTCAAATACTGGACCAAAGTTGAAACGATTCACGACGTTTCGATCGATTACACCA